CCCACCAGACGAAAAAGGTTGGGGACCACTGGGCTAGAAACACTTTTTACTTGAAAAGACAGCTGAAATTCTGACATGACTGCATGATGCCTGGAGCTGGACTTTAATAAAAGCCACAGATTCTGTGAGACTTGTGAAAATCACAAGAGTCGGCAATGCTGACTAATTATTTCATGCCACCTACAGCCTTTCCCCACCAGATCTTGCCACTCTACCGGCTTGAAGTCCAGACGTGGGTTCTAGGCTCAGCTGTGCCACTGACCTGGTGTGTGACCTTGAGCAAATCACTTCCCATCTTTGGGCTCCAATTAGGGTTGACCAAGGTGCCCATCTTAGTAAAGTGCTTTGAGATTTACCGCTGAGAAAGCCGTGCCAAAGCAGAGTCTGCTCTTAGGCCTTGTTTATACTTTGCAGTTAGTCCACAGCTGTTGGCACAAGCTGTGATGGTGCAAACCTCGCCTTTCTTTCACTGTGTACGGCACAATGAACATGGCGGCTCTTGGTCCCTCTGCAGTGGCTGGCACCTGTAATGAGGCTCATGAATTTGGAGCTGCCTCTGCGCTAAGGTCCCAGTCCATTGGGTTAAGAGGCGTCGGGTTTGTTCTCTGTACAAGTGTCATTACATTTGCCTGCACTCGTGGCTGAAAATCGGGGGCTTTGGGCCATTGGCCTCCTTTGGTTAGGATCACAGTGTATTCTCTCAGGCCAACTGACCCATCTTCCCTTTTCTCCCAGGTCGGGGGACCTGACAGATTCTGCTAATTAAAAGGAGAGAGAACCCTCTCCTCACCCCCCCCCACCCCGCCACCACAGCCAGCTCCCAGTAACATAAGCAGTCTGCTACAGCATGGGAATCCCCTTCAGACAGATCTCCTTCGCCCACAACACCCTCCCTCTCTCTCCTTCCTTTGCATGCCACACAGAGGTAGACATTGATAATTGATAAATCTTGCAGAGGGGAATAGAATAGCTTGTCAAATGTTAAGGCATCAGCGGCACTGGTCAAATTGATCACGGTGGGAGCTGAACAGCCAGTGCTAATTAATGTATTGTTCTCCAGACACTGCTCTCCTGCAGCATGGGGGACAAGGCTCACGAACCTGAGTGTTCAGGTTCTGATCTATAACTTTGTAAGCCCGCCCCAGGGGCCAAGCTACCTTGGCCTCTGGGCCGTGACAGGAGAGAGACCCTTGGGCGGTGCTGTCTCAGAGTTCAGCTGGAGGGCAGCACTTTCCCATGCTAGATGCAATTTGAGGGAGAAAGTAAATGAAGTTTTGATGGGCTTGAAATGGTCTCAGGAAATGGCCAGGCCCATCCTTGCCCCAGGAAAGAACTTCATATACTCAGACAACTTGTGCCACTCCAGTCACACAGCTATTGCTTCCTATGGGGGAGTGAGGGATCAGGGTGTGAAGCCTGACTGAATATAGAGCTGAAATGCCCTGAATTTACTGTAGGGCCATCTCGGCCTACTGAGAGATTGGCCTTGGATGGCCAACAGGGAAACAAATACTGGCCTTGCTCAGCTCAGCCCCCAAATGGCTAACTCAGAGCACCTGCCCATAGAAACCCAGGAGATTTATTCCTGCCCCAAAACGGAGAAGAACCCCATCTCCATCCCCAACGCCTTAGTGTATTACAGCACCATTGCTAGCAAACTCCTGGCTTTAAAAGAGAAGGGCATTCCCAGGGAAATACCCTGCCAGTCAGCTTAACCAATACAGGGTTTACAGTTTCCCAGTCTTACTCAGTGATGTCACATCACCTCAGTTGTGATACGTTTGGCGCCATGACCTCCAGCCAAGGATCTCAGAACACTTCATCATGCATTCTATTATTCTCATTCTTTGCATTACCATAGTGCCTAGATGTCCTAGTCATGGGCCAGGCGCACACTGAGTTAAATAATTAAAACCCACACAGTCCTTTGCCATGTAGGTGAGTGTCATTTTCTCTATTTTAGAAAAGATACAGCTGAGACACCATATGTGGAAGCAACTTGCCCAAAGCAACGCAGCTGAGTGAGGAAAGAACCAAGAATTGAACCCAGGAGTCCTGCTCTGACTAAGACAACCCTGACACCGAAGGTGCTGCAGGTAATTTCACAAAAATGTGCGTTCTCTTGTTTCCGCATTTCACAGAATACTCGAGCTGGTTGACACGTTTCCATTGAAAACATTTCCACCCCAAAAATGGAGTTTTATCAAAAACTTTTTTTCCCCAGGGAAACCATTGGGGGAGCATTACAATATTAGATATGTATATGTATTTTATCTTTCAACAGGAAATTCCAAAATGAAATGGAAAATTTCAGTTTTTGAATCAAATCAAAACAAAACCAACATTTCCTGTTTTGAATGGACACGAAACAAAAAAGTTTGTTTCACTTAACTTAGAAATCTCTCACAAAAAATCCAGACATTTAAATAAGAAGCTTCAAATGAACAAAATGTTCCAAATTCTGTGCGGGGGAGGAAAAATAGGGTGTTTTTTATCAGCTTTACAAAATACACCTCTACCCCGATATAACGCTGTCCTCGGGAGCCAAAAAAATCGTACTGCGTTATAGGTGAAACCGCGATTATATCAAACTTGCTTTGATCTGCCGGAGTGTGCAGCCCCCCCTGCTTTACTGCGTTATATCTGAATTCGTGTTATATCGGGGTAGAGGTGTACAGCTCGCTCTTCCCAGCTCTGTCTCCTATGTATAGAGCAGGTTAATGTGTATTTGCAGTAGAGAACCTCTGAGCCTCATAAAACAACTGTATTCCTAGGCTCAGATGAGCTGCAGAGTCAGGCCAAGCGTCCATCCAGGCAGTTTATCAACTCACACAGCTAATAAGCAGCAGGGAGGCAGAACCCAGGATCTTTGGTTCTAATATTCCGGCTGCCAAACAGCTGCCCAAGGTCTGTCCCCTGCAGAGCGGAGATGCCGTTGATGTTACCATGCAGATGTGTAAAATAATTGAGTCATCTGGAAGCAATTTAAAGCTGGGAGTAGGAGTGAAATATGCCCCTACCCCAATGGGGAGGGGAATCTCCAGATGGATTTTGGATGCATTTAAACATCAGAGGAAAGCAAGAGCAGAGGCCTCTTTTTGGAACTCTCTTTTGTGCCTAGATAGTACAATCAATGACCGGGGCTTTATAAATAGCACAGACACAAAGACAGGCATGGGAACCTTCCTCTTGTTGCAGTCGAGTTGTTGTTGTTTTCTTTTGCTCCAGATTATGAATTGTTTGATATGGAATTTCAAATGATCACTTAAGGATCTAATTAGCCCATAACTGCTCCAACTAAGCAACCTGGGTGTAGTGTGGGTTTAAGTGGTTAGTGCCTTTTTCTCTCTCTCCCTTTTAAATTGGCGTTTAATTAAGAGAATAAATAAAAAGAAAAGCCGCTTTGTCTGGGCCAAAATATTAAACAGCATGGTTCTTCTTGGGACAGGAGTGGCCTAGGTTTGGGGTCCTCTAGGGAGAAACTAAAAAGTCTCCCTGATCACTCTTACCCATATAGAAATGTTTCCTCCCCCTGCAGCAGTACTAGGGGTGTGTGTAGGGGGAGAACTGAGTGTGCACATGTGAGTGAATAGATGCGTGCGTGTGTGTACGATCTGCCAGCAATGGGCTTTTCTGCTCTTCATACTGTGCACTGCAGAAACTCCGCCTTGCACCTAGCGGCACATCCTTCGCCTGTCTTGAAGCTCAGTGAGGCGCAGATGTTGTTTGAACCAGGGAAAATGTCAGCTCCCAGGAGGAGCACAGGGTTAACTTACAGTGAGCCCATTGCGTCTGGCATGCATTTACATATGCTCTTTCAGACAGCCTTCAACAGTCTCCCACCTGCTTCCCTTTCCCTCTCCTCCACTTCGAGTCCAGTTCCCCCTCTCTTCTTCATGACCCTGCCCCTCTCCCCTTTTACCCTGGTTATGTTTTGCGCACACACCCCGTGTGCAGAGAGCAGACACTTGCTCAGTGGCTTTTGATTTACATGAAGTAAAACAATACAAAGAGAACAAGAGTAATAGCTCACTGGGCTCAATGCTGGGTGGAATTCTCTGGCCTTAAACCCCTCTGATGATTAACCTGGGCGGCACGGGTCTGCCTCCCGAAATGGCAGCTGCCCTGCGCATAGGGAGAGACCTTGCAAAATGCAATGGCGCCGAAACTAAACCTGTTGGATTACAATCAACACCCAAACCCCACTGCTTTGTACTCTGGTCCCTTCTCCCCCAGTCTCTGTACCAGCCCTGCAAGGAAATCTATGACAGCAGCTGCATCTCTGTGGGATGCCCATTATTGCCAGAACAAATCTTCAAAAATACTGAGGTTTAAAAAAAACAAAACAAAACTTTAAACTCTGGATTATTTTTCTTTGCCTTCTGGTTTCTGAGCTTCAGGGTCACAATTTCAGGCTTTTCTCTGCAAGCATGAGGACTAGTATTCTTATTCCTTGTATTTCTATAGTGCATAGGTGCCTGAGTCATGGATCAGGACCCCATTGAGCTAGGTGCTGTATAAACATAGACCACAGAGCTGAGGAACGTCCTGTTTTGTTAAACTACAGCTGGGCTTCTTATGTAATCCCTTGTGGGCGCAAGCTGGGGTGTTGTGGAAATCACCACATGTGGTGAGAGCTGGCAATGCTGGCTGTCTCCAGAAACACTGAAAGAAAAGTGGCCTTGTCTTTGGAGTAGATCTATGTTTGCAGTTTATTTATCTTCCGTGGCTGGGGCAATCAGCCTGAGGTACACACAATGCAGCTCATCTGCCTGTCTCCTAATTATGGGTATGTATCTCCAAACTTCATGAGTATCATCCAGTACCATAAGCATTGGGACATCCTGCAGCAAACAGCTAGCTAGGTTGACTAGCCTTGCTCCCCTTCAGATGGTGACAGGCGCTCTTGCTCACTTTGCACCATCCTTCAATGGGTATGTTTTCCAGTGGAGACCATAATGTGGCAAAGCTCTCCTTTGTTTTTCCCCTTCATAGAATCTCAGGGTTGGAAGGGACCTCAGGAGGTATCTAGTCCAACCCCCTGCTCAAAGCAGGATTAATACCAACTAAATCATCCCAACTAGGGCTTTGTCAAGCCTGACCTTAAAACCTCTAAGGAAGGGGATTCCACCACCTCCCTAGGGAACCCATTCCAGTGCTTGAGGGGGCAGTCTTTGTGCCTGCAACGTGGCCTGAGCGGGGATGCAGTGAGTGGGAAGGGGGACTCCATTAGCAAAGTATTTGATCATTCCTGCGCTCCGATTTATTATACTCACTGATGTCTGAAAATTGTCTAGTGTTCTTGCTTCCTTGGTCTCTTGGCAAAGGGTGGCAGGGCTGCCAGACTATTACAGCCGTGCCCCTGCTCAGGCATCCAACAGTAACTGCAGACCAGGCAGTCCTGAGCAGCTTTTGAACCAGCGGTGGTTTTCAAAGTCATTTTCTCCACAAGTGTAATTACAATAGAGGAAGGAGGAGGAATGTCTTCTCTTCCTACCTTTCTAATACCCCCCATTTGAGGTCATCCCGTTTGGAGATTGTTTGAGGGCTATTCTCACGCCCTCAGCATCTCCCTTCTGACTTGGGAAAAATATAGCCCTGATTGTCCTGGCAAAAACCAGACTGCACCTCCTGGAAGCACCTGAGCACAAGGGGGGCGGGGGGAGAAAAACTCCCTTTGTAGGCTACAGCATATTGCAAATAATTGAACTCTACCAGAGCGGTCTCAGTGAGGGATTCCATCTATATTCCTCGCTCTTAGTTCTGTGGAAATGAACATGACAAACATTCCGGAACAACTCCTGTAGCTAGAAATCTTAAGTAGTAATTCAACATTTCTGCACCATGCCACAGTTCCCATCAGGGGAGGAGGTAGGATATTTAAATCCAGAGCATAGCAATGGTGGTTCTGAGCGTGGGTCTCTGCACCCTCCCCTTTTCCAACCCGGTGGTGGTTAAATATAAATAAATGAATACACCCGGAAAAGTTAATGGCCACAAGTTTAACTTTCCCCTGCCTCATTAGAATTTGGGGAGACTTGACGCACAACATACAAAATGTGCATGCCTATGAATACCAAGCATGTTACTAGGTTAAAGTAAATCTAAAGTAACATTTGAAAGCTGAAAGATGAAAGCAGATCACAGGCCAAAGATCAAACACTCTAGAACCACTTCTAAGCCTTTTACTGCTGGAGATTATTAGCATTTGAAAGTGAAGAGCATTAGTGAGGGGGGTGGGGAGAAGGAAAAGTTGGAAGGAATTTCTGTTGCAGAGATAAAAATCTGAAAGGAATGACAGTGGACAAGGAGGAATAAAAAGCATCTGGCTTATTAAGCAACACACAAAAAGGGGTGTGTGTTCAGCACTGGGGGGGCCACCAATTTATTTTTAGATCCCAGATCAATATTTTAGTGGATTGAACTCCTGGGTTTATTTTGTGTTCTCAACAAAATTGTTAAGGTGGTTTAGTCCAGCAGGTGGTTTGTGGTCTGTTTCCTGAAGCATCAGGGTAAAGACTCAGTCTCACTCCGGTTTCTCCCTGCTGCTCTAATAAGTGTGCAGGAGGGATGGTGCCTCCCATAGGACCCAACCGCCCCAGGCACTTCCTTCTCCCTTCCCCCCCCCCCCATCTTGCTGAAGGACAGGCTGGTTGGCACTTCTGTCCCAAGGGGTGAATGTGAGATGAAGTGATGGGAGAGAAGGGCGTTGGATAAGGTGACCCCCTGCTGCCCTGTCAATTCAAACACCCCCCGCTGGTCTCTGTATCCTGTCTCTCTAGAAGTGGTGGGCTGGACTTGTCAGGATGGAAAGGAGACCAGCAAAATGTCCGGGGTGTGGGCAGGATACCATCAAGGATCTCAAGCAGCAGGGAAATCATTTGAACTGACTAAACAAGAGAAGGACGTTAGTGGGGGAGCACTCTCAACGCGGTGTGCTGTGAACTGTCGTGCTTTTGTGTTCTGTCTGTTTCCTGCTGCCTCCTCCTCGGTCTGAACTGTTTTCCTTCAGTGTGGCAAATCTTAACAGACCAGTTTGTAAACCCGCGGTGTTAGTGTGGTTGGTACATAATCACAACAAGCAGCATAGCTGCAA